TATATATTTTGTATCCTTATCGTATTAGGATTACGATATTTGTAAAACTCTATATGTATTGATCAATGGTACACACTCCAGATTGAGGAGTTTTCCCGAAAACTAACATGGTATCACAGCTTAGGTTTTAGATCTCAATTTTTTTTTTCCAATTTATTTATTTATTTTTTTTTTTTTTTTTTTTTTTGGGACCTTGCCTTCATCGAGCTTCCGTACATCATCTTGTCCTCTGTTTATCCTTTCAAGCTGATTTTAGTTCCTTTCCTTTCTTTTATTTTTTCGTTCCCTACCATCTTATTACCATGTCATGGCCAAGGATGATGACACCACTCCTCCCCCACCCACGTCGGAGTTTCACCGCGCCTTGGCAGTGAACAATATAAAAAATGCAATTCCTCTTGTTCTTGATTATGAGAAGGTCAAATAATCTAATTGGGTTGAGCTTTTTGAGAACCATGCTTGCGCCTACAATGTGTTAGATCACATTGACTCCACCGTTTCCCGTCCTTCGGATGTCTCGGACTCCCTATGGCAGCGTCTTGATGCAATTGTCAAGTAGTGGATATATGGCACTATCTCCACTAACCTCCTTGAAACGATTTTGTCTCGATCATCGACTGCTCAAGAAATTTGGGATCGTATTAAAGAGATTTTTTAAGATAACAAAAACACTAGGGCCGTTTATCTTGAAAAGCTTTATCTTAGCAATTTTCCTAATGTTACTGCATATTGTCAATAGTTCAAGAGCATATCCGATCAATTAGACAATATTGACCAACCCGTTTCGGAGCAAAAGATGGTGATTCGTCTTGTGTCCGGTCTCACCAACACAGACTTCGATCCCTTGCCCACCTTTAACACTACTAGGTCTCGACTTCTTCTCGAAGAATCTCGTCGAGCCAATGATCATGGCCAATCGCAGCAATCTTCTTTCATTGCCCATCAAGATTTGGCCTCCAACGGTCAAACACAACAACTCCCTTTGACTGGTGGTCGCGGCTCAGGTGGTCGTGGCTTAGGTGGCAGCCGTGGAGGACGTCCAGGTGGCAAGGTCGGCGGTGGAAAGGGGCGTGGCCAAGGACGAGTCAACAACTCCACCAAGCCCGCAAACACATCCCAGCAGCAACAACAAGCCTCGTCCCAACAGCCTCATAATTCTCAGTGGGCCAGCCCACCTATGTGCCCAAATCAACCACCTCAATAGTGGCCTAGATATTGGGCCGTACCCCCCTGCCCATACCCTACGGCCCAGGGACCGATTGGGCAGCCCAGGTCGGTTTCAACTCCAAACCAGCCCACTCGTAGCCCATCTCGGCAAGCCCTCATGGCTCAGCCACCTCAATACGGGCAACTATATACTCCTACTGAATTAGGCTTTGCTTACTCGTCCATGACACTTTCAAACTCGGACAACGGATGGTATATGGACTCGGGTGCCACATCGCACTTGACTCAAAACTCAGGTACTCTCATGCCTCTGTTTAATTTGAGCACTAATAATAACATTTTAGTAGGTAGTGGTCGCCGCATTCCGGTCACGGGTTATGGTCACACTACTCTCCCTAACAAAAAATTAGCCCTTCGTGATGTCTTATTAGTCCCCCAAATCATTAAAAACTTAATTTCAGCTCGTAAATTTACCTCTGATAATTTAGTTTCCATTGAATTTGACCCTTATGGTTTTTCTGTGTAGGACCTTCAAACGGGAAGGATAATCACGAGATGTAATAGTTCGGGAGACCTTTACCCAGTCACCACCAACACTTCACCATCCTCATGTCTTGCATCAACACTCATGGTCACTTCTCCAACAACTTGGCATAATCGTTTGGGACACCCCGGTGCTAGTTCTTTGAATTTTCTAAAGAGCAAAAATTACATTGATACTAATAAGGAGCATGCCTCCGATTTTTGCACTTCTTGTCAATTAGGGAAACATGCTAAAAAACCTTTTTCTGACTCTACTAGTCATACTCTATGTGCTTTTGATATTATTCATGCCGATTTGTTTACTTCTCCTATTCAGAGTGTCAATGGTCATAAATACTATTTAGTTCTAATTGATGAGTTTACTCATTTTGTTTGGACTATTGCCATTTCTTATAAGTCTCAAGCCTTTTCGATGTTTGTAAACTTTTGAAATTATGTACAAACACAATTCGACAGACCAATCAAAGCTTTTTAAAGTGATCACGACCGTGAATTTGATAATGACCCATTTAAAAAGCAATGCTTAGAGAATGGTATGGTTTTCAGGTTTTCATGTCCTCACACCTTGCATGATCCGCACTATTAATAATGTCAAACGCACACTTCTCTTTCATGCCTCACTTCCACCTAACTTTTGGGTCTATGCTCTTAAGACTCCTACTTATCTTTTAAATTTTACCGACAAAAGCTCTCAACAACATAACCCCTACCCATGCGTTGTTTTGAAAACAATTAACCTACTTATGATCATCTAAGGGTGTTCGGTTGTCTTTGCTTCCCTAATCTCTCGTCCACCGCTCCTCATAAACTAGCTCCTCGTACCACTCCTTGTGTGTTTTTAGGGTACCCCCCAAACCATAGAGGTTGTAGGTGTCTTGATATTTCGTCAAACAAAATCTTTATTTCACGTCATGTGACCTTTGACGAAAATACTTTCCCATACTTGAATTTGCATAAGTATAAGTTGGAGGATTATAAATTCTTGGTTAGTGATGATGCTTCCCCCCTCCTAACACATGCTCTCATGCGTTACACCAGGCCCATTCACACTCAAGCCCACTCACCTTCTCCTCCCTCAAGTCCACACAATTCACGTTCCACTCCACCTCACGCACAGTCCACACCGCAGCCTGCTTGCGGCAGCACCTCCCCAATCGCGACCCCCCCGCGGCCTACACTGCCCCTCTCCCTGCGGTCGGACAGTCCACTCTCACCACAACCCACATACACCCCGCCACCATTTTGGGGCATTCCTCCCATTCAGCCAACTAGGCCGCCTCCCCCTTCTCCCCGCATCACTCGTAGTTAACGAGGTATTTTTAAGCCAAACCCAAAATACTGTAACCTCACCATTCAACTTTCGGGTCCAACTCACCTAAAACCACCTCTTCTAAAATCTTACAAACAAGCTTTGAATGACCATAATTGGAATGCGGCGATGAATGATGAGTATATTGCTTTAATTAAAACAGGGACATGGGAGCTGGTTCCTAAGCCTGCGGGGGTGAATATTGTTAATTGTATGTGGCTCTTTAAGCATAAATACAAGTCTAACGGTGACCTTGAAAGGCACAAAGCTCGTCTTGTATGTGATGGCAGGTCGCAGGAAATTGGTGTGGATTGTGATGAGACATTCAGTCCGATGGTTAAACCGGCCACTATTCGTACAGTACTCAGTTTAGCATGGCTAAAAAGTGGTCGATTCATCAATTAGATGTCAAAAATGCCTTCTTACATGGTGACTTATAGGAAACTGTTTATATGCATCAACCCCCAGGGTTCGTGGATCGTCGTGCCCCTACTTATGTTTGTCGGCTCCGGAAAGCTCTATATGGTTTGAAACAAGCTCCTAAAGCTTGGTACCAACGGTTTGCGAACTTTCTGATCAAATTGGGTTTTGTCATTACCAAAAGTGACACCTCTCTCTTTAGCTTCCGTAAGGGTGATGACATGACATATTTACTTCTATATGTTGATGATATTATTTTAGCTACCTCATCTGATAGGTTGCGTGTAGGGATTATATCTTAGTTGCAAACTGAGTTCCTAATGACCGATTTGGGTCCATTGAGCTATTTTTTAGGAATTACAGTCACCTGTACTCTCACTTATTTGCTACTTTCACAGGAAAAGTATGCACAAGAGATTTTGGAGCATGCAGGTATGGGCTCTTGTAAACCCTGCAGCTACTCCAGTTGACACTAAGTCCAAACTTACTGCAGATGTAGGACCACCTTTTCATGATCCTACTTTGTATCGCAGTTTAGCAGGTACTCTTCAATATCTCAGCTTCACTATGCCAGATATAGCCTACGTGGTACAACAGATGTGTCTTTTTATGCATGATCCCCGGGAATCTCGATCATTATGATGCATTGAAATGCATTTTGCGTTATGTTCAGGGTACCATTGATCATGGCTTACATTTAGACTGCTTCTCATCGTTTGATTACTTACACTGACGCTGACTAGGGAGGTTGTCCCGATACCCGTCGTTCCACATCGGGTTATTGTTGCTTTCTTGGGGACAACCTCGTCTCTTGGTCATCTAAGCGTCAGTATACCATGTCTAAATTGAGTGTAGAAGCAGAATATCGAGGCGTCGCTAATGTTGTCTCTAAGGCATGTTGGCTCCGTAATCTCTTACTTGAGTTACATTGCCCTTTTCGACAGGCTACTATTGTCTATTGTGATAATGTCAGTGCTATCTATCTTTCTGGCAACCCGGTTCAACACCAACGCACCAAACATGTGGAGTTGGATATTCATTTTGTTCGAGAGAAGGTTGCTTTGGGTGAAGTTCGGGTTCTACATGTTCCTTCTAGATATCAGTTTACGGACATTTTCACGAAAGACTTACCACGGGAGTTATTTTTGGATTTTAGATCCAGTCTCAGCGTACGACCTCCTCCTACTATGACTACAGAGGTGTGATAGATATTATAGTTATGATAATATCTGTCGCAGATTAGGATAATTATTGTATATATTTTGTATCCTTATCCTATTAGGATTACGATATTTGTAAAACTCTATATATATTGATCAATGGTACAAATTCCAGATTGAGGAGTTTTCCCAAAATCTAACAGTAAACAAATAAGAAATGTCAATAGTTTGTTGTGTAACACCACATAATAAACTACAGGAGTAGCCTTTACTAATTGGAATTTATTAAATAATATCCTTAATGACCATAAAAATAATATTCACAAACAAAACTTCAAATTACAATAAAAAAAATTTAACAAAGCACTTATTGTATAGATTAAACATTATTAAATCCACAATAACTTTTTATGGGAGCATTTAGTTTCATTTCAAGAGAAGATATGCTACAAGCTCTACTAGTTTATAAGCAAGAATCAACATATTTATAATTTTGGTAAATATTTAAATACCTTTCAACCAAAAAAGTAAAAAGAACAAACAAAATGATACCTAAATAACCATTTAACTGCCCAACTTAGCGAAAGGTGTACTTTAATAACTTAATATTCCCAAAGTGTTGATCTAAGAATGAATTAACCAACAAAATAACTACACTTAGATAAACATATATCCAAAAAACAAAATATATTACGACTATATGACTTTGAGCCTTAGATACAACTCAACAAAATAAACAAAATGTCAAATATATAACTACCGATCTAAGGGTCAAATAAATTTATATTGAAGGACACCTAAAGTATGTTGTATACTTAAGGATTGCTTCATATATTTCTTTTGTTCTTGATTTTATTTGGGAATTCATATCAGCAACTCACTAAATAAAAGTTAAGCTTAAATAAGGAAAAAAAAATTCTAGATGTAATGTTTGGAACAAGAAGAATAAGTTAATCCAAAAAGGAATTCAAAAGCACCAGAACAAGTCAAATACAAGTCGTCAAGCTTACAATAGGTTACTTGTGCAGATGTAATAACCCTATTTTACTTAAAATCAATCCTCCTTGCCTTTTGCGTGATGAAAAAAGCATTGTAAGATGATAAAACTCGATAGGTAAAAAGTCTTACACATGCGAGATTCTCATCTTACCTTTTATCTAGTTGGATAAGTTTGAAATGATTTTTCATTTTCTCAGAAAATTCAAATAGATCAAAAATAAGCAAACTCTAAATGTAAAAATCTCAACATTAATATTGCCTTTTGTGGAGGCTAGGGGATGGTGAGCCAACTTTAAGGTGAATTAAATGACCAATCACAATGATTTCCTAGGAGATGAGTTATAATATATATCACCATAAACAATAAGAAAATCAACAAATAGTACTTTAAGGTAGCTCTCATGCACAATGGCTAGCTTGAAAAATCAAAGTGACCAACCACCTTTAATAGTCTCTTAGAGGTTGACTTCCAACGGTATCTCCATAAGCATTAATACAAGAATATATAGTCATGAAGGAAGTTAATGACAAGAATGTGGTCAGCTATGAAAAAAGTCTCTTCAAAACTTACATTAAGGATCAAACATTTCAAAGAAGCCTTTGAGTGCATCTATAACAACATATGTTTCAAAGCGCTACATTTAGATAGTAAAGATTATGCCTCACTTTTTTTTTTTTTTTTTTTGACATTATGTGTCATATCTAAAGAGCATATCTCAAGCAACGGTATCCTATCAAGACTTGTTCTTCTAATACTAAGTGCCAAAGAACATTAATCACACCTCAACTTCAAAGGCGTAAAATCCTATATATTTTCATCAAGCAAACTGCCCCCAAACACATTTAAATATTACAATTATAGTTATTAACATCGATCGTTTCTTAATAAAGTACAAATATGTAATATATCCTGAAAATTTTGCTATTATTGTTGGTAAAATAATATGACAACAAAAATTAAACACACGTACCATCTGTGAATAGTTTAAGATCGAGAAAATTATATGCACATAATATAACCAAGTTTAACAATCAAGAAGGTTTTACTTGGTTCAATCCATACTTATGATGCACCAAACATTATACTTATCCAAAAGATGAAGTGTGATTCATGTCACTAAATATAATAGAAGTACAATGCCTATGAGCTCATACATATATGCAAGTTTATTTCAAGGTAAACAAATTAACCTCTATAGGAGTCAACATCTTCTTCTCACTAATTCTATCATACTTTTGCTTCTTAGTCCCTGATTTTAGTCCTTGCCAAGAAAGGCTACGAAGAACAAACGAAAAATGGAAAAATTATAACAAAAAGAATGTAAGGTAGACTAACCCAAAAATTAACTCAAAAGTATAACAAGAAAATAAAGAAAGAACGACGTAAGACCAAAGCATGCAATTTCCAACCTTCCTCTCAGAAAATACATAAGCACGTAACCAAGGAACTCCAGATCATCCCTTTGAATTTGTTCTATACATAAACCACACAACCAGATTAAGATTTTTAATAAGATATCTTTGATTACAAAAAGTAAAAAGAATTGAAATAAGTTGCAAAATTGCCTACGCCAAGGTGAGTGCTCACACTGGCATATCGAGCAGTGCCCGTGAGATTTTTGTTTTCCTTACAGAGAGTTCAGGATGAGTAAAAGCTTTAAAAGATGATACTCCATATGACACACAACTTTTTTTCTTTTTTAGGAAAATTAAATGTACTAAATAACTTTATTTTACATAAAATAACTCATTTTATGGTCCCCGCCAATTATTTTCTTAAATTACGTGACTAAGAAAGCATGTCAATTAGGGTTTTCTTATTATGCTCCCTCTAATGCTTTGAGTTCTTTCCCACTTTTAAACCGTAAATATTTCTAATTGCATGTTAATAAAAAATTATAAAAGTTTGTCATTTTACATAATACTCATTGAGAAGAATAAAACAAGACCCCAATTGACCATATTTTTCTAAAATATTGGAAAAATTAGACATTTCTCTTAAGTTGTAGATAGTGTCTAGTGAAAATAACATTTAAAATCGAAGAAAGTAGTTATTAGTGGCTTGTGGCCTGGGTTTAGGTTTATTGTAATTAGTAGGTAGTGAGTTTTGTTTTCATTATTATATATCGATAGTGGGCTCATGTCATTTATGAAAAGAAAGAGAATCATCTCAAGTAGATAAGGACGACTTTAAAAGGATAATGTGTTAAGTAAACAAAGATAGAGTTGAGGGATTATAACATAACAATAATCTCCTAATAGTATTATATAACAAAACTGATGAATTTCTTTTATGAGTTGATTGAGCACGCATATATATAAACAAATATGCCATGTCATACCGGTAAGGTATATGCTTGTGAGTTTGGAGATCTCTGTACTTTTTAGCAAGACCATAGTCAATGATGTACACCTACAATACACAAAAAATTTAATGAAAGTTATAACGAATAATTGCATCTTTAATCATAATGCTCCAATAACCAAGGCCTATATAACCTAAACATTACAATTTTATAATTAATAATTAATGGTGAAATAGCATATAAGACAATACAAATAATACTTATGGTTTTTGAAAATGATTAAGTATGTCCACAATTTATATCATCAACAATTATAAAGTTGAGTTTTATAACTAACCACATGAGACAACAACACTTAGCGACATAAATTTTCGCCAAGTGTCGTTTCTCGTACAATGAGATATAAGCGGGCCACATATGATGGTTTGTAAATAAAATTTGGATATTTAGAATATATACTTCGTTGCTAGTAGATTTTTGTTTATGTTAGACTTTTAACATATACATGAAATAAAGTTTCAATCTCACAAAATTATAATTCCTCCGTTCAGGGGTAATATTGCAATAACTGAACTTTTGCACTATTCATCATTTTATTTGACCACATATTATTATTTATATGCTAAGTAAAATATAGTCATGTACTCATGTGATGTCTTGTTAGATCCGCCTAAGAAAATACCTTCACAATATCATCTTTTTTTATTTGACTCTTAAATAGTTATAGATATTTATAAAGTATGCTTTGGGATGCATAATTTCATCCTTGTTACAATATTAATAGAACGAAGGAAGAATTATTTACTAGAGCAACTAACACGCGCGATGCACGCGCCATAGCTCGCCATATCAAGGGAGCTCTTTGACCTCGTGTCACAAATTTAGTTGTTGGCAGCATTAATGAGTGAAAATATGTAAATAAATAATTTAGGGGTCTAAATGTCCGCACACTATTCTTGAGAGTTCAAATAAAGAGGCAATTAATATTAGTTAGGGCAAATAAGTAATCAAACACACGTAGGGGTATAAATGTCTACACAGAATTCAAAAAAGTTTGGTTAAACTTTTTTAAAGGTAGGTATATTATCATATTCATTGTGAAAGTGTTTTAAAATTAGATCTATTTATGACACATTTTGGAAAAATAATGACATATTATGGAGAGAAAAAACTATATTATTGTATAATAATGACAGTTTGTATTTTCTAGAGAAAATAGAATTTGAAAAATGTAGTATTCCCTCTGTTTTCGATAGTTTGACCTATTGTAAACTCTTCTTTCTAAGAATGTATGAAAAAATGAGTGTAGGTATGAAAGAAGTGAATAAAGTAATAGATTATATATGAGCGAGGTAAAAGAAGCTGATTTATTATTTTCATTTGAGCTTTTAGTTGTGGTAAAGTGATGGTGATTAATGAGAGAAAAATAAAGGTAATGGGTTTGGGAAAGTGATGGATGAAGGGTTAGGGTATTATATAACTTTGTTTTATTGATAAAACTAGATTAGTTTCAAAATTATGGGCTTAATATTGTAATGTTATTATATTAATGGTTAATTATGAAATATCAATATAAGGGTTGTTATATGGAAATGTATTTATTGAGTTATGGGTGGTTTATTTTAAACTTATTGGTTAAGGGTGATTTTGAATAAACAAAAACCTCTCTTAGGAGTGGTTTCGAACAAAAATCCTAAGACAAATTAAAGTCATTATGCAACATAAATTAGAATAATCATCATTTGATTCCATTGATTATCTTTCAAACATGAAAGATATTATAAAGCATAAACAATTCATTCTGACCCTCCTATTACGATGAATTATGTTCATAAAACTTTCCATATATAATCACTTTTAACAACCCATCAAAATTCATACTCCACTGACAATAAAGTGTGCTTCTAAAACCTTGGCTCCCATTACTACGAAGGTTGTCAAGTAACCCTCACATCTACTCCTGTATTACTCGCATGAGTCGCAAATAAACCTAATGCTCCACAACACTCAGATTATAATCGAGCTAGAGTTACTCATACTTGTCTTCTGTGTAGAGAATCAAATATTCATTATCAATTGATTATTCCTCTTTATCTTAAGGAAGCTCTTACATTCTTTGTTTAGCAATTCCATGGGACTATTAAAACAAGTTTGTTAACCTTTCTTATTTAGACCGGATAAATATAATTCCGTAAATATTCAATCCTTGATAGACCTTTTGAATGGTAGACTTTTAACATAGTCTATACAAGTATGTTTTCATTGAGCCTACGCATGATTGCATCTCACCAATCTCTACATAAGATAAATAAATTATTGAGATCGTTGTGTTTTTATGTAGAGACTTTATCTCCAATTTTCTTACTAACATCTTTCATAAATATCTACGCCTTATAAATAATTTAGAGGAAAAATACATTTTAATAATCCCACTATGAGCGATTTACTTTTAATAATCCCAACTAAGGTTTATTATCTAATAATCCTAACTATGGGGTCAGTTTGCCTCCAATGGTCCCAATGACCGGTGACCTGCTAAAAAAAAAATTGTTTTAATAGCCACGTGTCAACACGTGAAAATGTCCAAAATTATAAATTAAACTAGAAAAAAATACATTTTAATAATGCCAACTATTGGCGATTTTCTTCTAATAATCCCATGTCACACTGCCCTTTATTTTTTTTTTCTTCTAATTCTTGTATAACATTTATACTTCGTATTAAAATTAATAATCTTAAAGCTAATAATTCATTACATGTATTCAACATTATTTCTTTCATATCCCCTCTAACTAAATTTCTTTGATTGAAATAATCAATGTCACTCCTTCCTCTTATCACCTTTTTAAACCTTAGATATTGTACAAGAACTGTTTCGGGGTTTTCTGATGTCCTGCGGGAGAGCTACAATTCCGAGACTGGAACCGGACGCCTGTACCTGCAAAATAACGGAGACTCCTTAGAGCTCCGCCTCCAACGGTCAAGTTAGTACCTGATTAAGGAGTAATTAATACAGAAATTAAAGTAATAAGATCTCTCTAGGTGAGAGTATTTAATGTAGGTAATCTGCTTTGCTAGCGAGATCAGCCGGTTATTAGTGTGTTCCGTAAATTATTCGGTCCCTTGATTAATGAGGATTAATCGAGTATTTATAGCCTTGGGAAGCGTGCAACTCTCTAGGTTTAAGGTAAACCTAGGGCCGATCGGGCTTCTAGACTGAAATGGGCCTTGATGGCCGGTTGTCCCATTTGGCATGGGTGGACACGTGGCGTGTCTTAAGTGGTCCGTGGAGGACGCGTGGCGGAACCTGGTTGGTCCACTTGTCAAACGGCGCTTGGTGGATAAAAATCCCCTAATCATTTGCCCCTCACAGGTGGCACGCGACTGGTCACGTGTCGCCTGTGACAGGTGTCGCACGGTGACAGGCGACGGCCCGTTACAGGTGTCACCTTGCAGACGGCCGGGAGACTCTCCCGCCCAAGTTTGAATTCGGAAGCGACCCTTCGCCTTCTCATTTTGCCTATAAAAGGAAGTGCTGACTTCGGTCATTTTCACATTTGAGAATTTTTGCGAGAACATTCGGACCCCTGAACTTGCTCTGACATTTTCGGACTTTTTCTGCCTACCGCCTGTTCTGACAAGCCGACTGACCCGAACTTTCAGGACTTCATCAACTGTCATCCGTTCAGGTAACTCAGTTCTCTTACTCTTAATTTTCTTTTTATTTTTTGAAATGGCACCATGGAAGCACACGACACGCCCTAAGTTAGTGATCAGCCGGTCACCGGGGACGGCTGAATCTAGGACTAGGAGTGCCGCCTGCCCTTTTCTGGACCCATCTTTGCCCTTTATACAAAGTCCGACTGAATCTGTGTCTATGCAGAACGTGATGGCCAGAACAAAAAAGACTGCTAGAATATCAAACTCAGACGGCTCCTCCCAAAGGGTACTCCTTAGCGAAACATCTGACCAGGCGCCAGATGTGGAACGAGGCGACTGTCAAGCTGATAGTTCTGAGAGAGGGACCAAGGTGTTCCCTTCTCATCTAACCGTGGACATGTCTAATTTACCTTCTGCTCCTTCTAAGGGAGAGGAGGCGGGCCCCTCTAGGAGAGGGGAGGCGTCGTCCTCTTCGGACTCGTCAGGGGACGAGTCCGATTCCAGCTCTTCTGACCATAGTTCTTCTAACCATAGTTCTTCTGACTCAGAAGAAAAACATAACCGCCTACAAGAGGCGAGAAGTTCCCATGCAGTGGAGAAGGGGGATAATTGGGCAGAGCCGTCCGCCTCTTACAGAGAGGAAAACACCCCCTACTACTGCAGGGTGCCCCGGGGCCGGATCGCAACCATGCGAGACAACGTGGCGAGCTTTATTGCTAACCACAAAATGGGCCCGGAGTATTTACTGTTTGTGCCGGATCCAGAAGATACTGTCGTCTGGCCGGTTGGTACCAGCTATGGTGACGGCTGTTTTGGCTGCTATGTGGCGGCCATCAAAGCTGGTCTGCGCTTCCCATTACATCCGGCTGTTCAGCGGATTTTAGATGGGTATGATCTGGGGTTATGGCAGTTAGCCCCCAACTCTTGGGTAAACGTACTCGGCTATGTGGCCGGGTGCGAACTGAACGGGGTGGAGCCAAGTTTTGAGGCTTTCGCCCACATGAACTATCTCAGCCGGACCCCTAAGTCGGGAGGTACCGGCTGGTATCAACTAACAAGCCACAGGGGTTACCTCATGACGAGAGGTAAGGCAAACAAATGGAAGGATTGGCGGAACACCTTCCTTATTATCGAGAGTTCAGACACGGAGCTGAACAAACGTTTTAACAAGTGGAACAGGGATCCGCCTCTTCTTGCAGGCGGCCGCAGCATGCCGCCTGTTCCCCCTAAGGCTAAAAGAGAGATCCTAGACAAAGGACTCTTCAAAGTAGAGACTAGGGTGAACTCTACTTCAGGGGTACGAGAGCAAGTACCCCTACACTGCGTCCCGAGCTTCAAGTGGCTCTATGATGAGTACTTCTTGGCCGCCTGTGGCCTCGGCAGTCGGTGCTCTAGAGGTAGCCGGCCTGACGAATACTCTGTTTTCTCACGCCTTGTTTACTTGGGA